CGCTGGGGTGGCGCTGGGCCCTCGAGCGCACCGGTGACCGCAGCGGCTCCGCGCCCCTCCCCCGCCGCGCGCAGCGCACCCGCCCGTCGCTCCGCACTGGGTTGGATGGTCGCGTCGGTCGGGGTGGCTCCAGGATGTTAGGGACTGTGAAGATGGAAGGGCATGAGAGCAGCGACTGGAACAGCTACTACGCGGACACGCAGGAGGTGAGAGGCGGGCAGGCGGCGGGGCGTCCCCAGAGTCGGTGTCCGGGGAGACCCCGGGCGAGGTGGGCTCCTGCGGGGACTAGGGCGAGCGGGCTGGGGGCGGCTCGACCAAGGCGCGGCTCCCAGTGTGGCCCCCCCTGCCTGGCTTCCTTGCCAGCCCGCTGCCCGCTGGGTGCTGGCGCTTGAAGCGAGCAGAGAGTCTTAGGAAACTCTGGGCTTTGAAAACACCCGCTCCGGGAAGCACTTGCCTTTGCCCCGCGGAGAGCGGGAGCCGGAGCCTGGCCCCGGGAGCCGCGGGGGTGGCTGGCGGGTTCCCGCCGGAGTTAAAAGCAACTCCGAGAGTTGGTGTTCGCTTACTGGGCGGCCTCTCGGTCCCGCCAGTTAGTTCGCCGACGTCTTTGGATAAAAATGATCTGCCGCGGAAGTTAGGCTTCTTCATGACGAATGATTTCTAAATTTTATAAAACTTATTCTTCAAAAGCCCCGTGTGCAGAAAAGTGTGACCGTTCCTCTCTAGGACCGCTGGGTGGCGCTAGTGCGAACCGAATCATTTTCCAGAACTCAGGGCCAAGAACCTGTTTCTCTTCATTGTCCCCTTGGAGGCATGTTCACGGGGTTTATTTTACATTGTGCACAAAAGCATTGCAAGGAAAATCAGGTACAGGCAGGGCCACTACCTATTAAAAATAGTTTTCTAGAAACAGTTGCCGATTACCTTCAAAAGTTTAATTTACCGTTATCGAAAACTCTTACTGAGAAAGCCTCCTGCGATCTTGGGGAGAGAGCTAGAAAATAAACCCCAAAGTAAAAAGTACTTTTTAAGATCTATACAGAATCTGAAAACCCCTTCATGGCAGTGTATTTATTCGTCTCTGTGTTTATTTGGGAACCATGCTTTTTGGAATCTTCATATTTAAGTCTATCCATCTCTTAGGTTTTCAGAAGGAGTTACATTTGCTGATGAACATAAATTTAAGAACATCAATACTGTGTGTTAGATTACCAGAAACTCAGTTATATGTCAGGGCTCTGTATTCCCTAACCACCTAGTTGTTCTCTTGATTGCTAATGACGAGGATGCCATTTGCTGATGATTTTAATAGGAGCTCAGGCCACTTTCAGGGGTTTAATTTTGACGCAGTCACCTCGGCCCACCAGAGAAGATCCCTGTGGAAAGAGCTTTCTTACATCTCAAAGCTGGGAGTTAGAAAGCAGAATAGCGAGCGTTGAGAGAAAGTAAGTAGAGTTTGACTTGGGAATTTAAAATTATCCCAAACTACTCATGTAGTTTCAAAGCCCGGGCTTTGATATGAGCTGCAGCAAGTATCAGTTATAGGGTGTGTGTGTGTGTGTGTGTGTGTGTGTGTGTGTGTGTGTGTGTGTGTAAATTGTGTTACCAAATATTTCAGTTGTTAGAGGACTGCAAATAGGTAACAGACTTAATGCAAGGTTTTTTAGTAGCTCCCAGAGCTGTACATGTAGCCACGTTAAAATTAAATATAGGTACCGTGTTGTCCTGCTGTGCACCTTATTTTTAATTTTGTTTTTCCAGAATTTTATTTAACTTGTGAGTTTTCTTCTTTTAAAATGTTAACATTGTTACAAGAGGTGAAAAAGCAATACTTCTAAACATAATAACATAATAGCTAGCTTTGGGCTCCAGCTCCTAAGACAAAGCCAGTTTCTGGGAGATGAGTAATTGGGATAGGGGATCATATGGGAATATAGGCGATTTACTGTATGGGTGGGAGTTTAACGGCAGCCAGCCCCATGCCTACTGCTGTGCAGCCAGAGGTGCCTGCCAGACCTCGGCAGTGTGGGCGCCTAGCTGGTGCCCCGTTTCATCGTCCAGCAGGCCCGTGTGGAACCTACATCACCGTAGGTGGTGAAGTGACGAAGCTTAGACATAAATTCTACTTTCTATTTTCGGAGTTTCAAAACTGGTTTGGCCCAAAGGCAGTGTGTCCAGGCTGGTCTGGGGGTGGGTGGGTGAATACTTTGGGTACAGCCTACCGTGGATGAAATCGAAGGGGGGGACCTTAGAAGCCAGCCCCTGATCCAGGCATGTAAGGCGATTACACATCTTCCCGGGGACATGTTTTCTGTGAGCACTAATCTTTCCTGCCTGCAGCGTTAGGATTCCCCCGCCCCTGCGGTGTAAGCCATCTTTGCGTGGGGAGGGACGGGCGCCGAACAGTTTGCGCTGGCTAGGGAGTTCCCGGGCTTTGCAAAAAAAAAAAAAAAAAAAAAAAAAAAACAAAAAAAAAAACGCTGTTCGCTCGCCCCCGGGGCTCGCCCCATGGCCAGCCAAACTCCAGGGCACACGACTAACCCCGCCCTTCGGGGCCTCTTCCCTGGCTGTCTCCGCTCCAGGCCTACTCCTCTGTCCCGGTCAGCAACATGAACTCCGGCCTGGGCTCCATGAACTCCATGAACACTTACATGACCATGAACACCATGACCACGAGCGGCAACATGACACCAGCTTCCTTCAACATGTCCTACGCCAACCCGGGCCTCGGGGCCGGCCTGAGTCCCGGGGCTGTGGCCGGTATGCCCGGGGGCTCTGCAGGAGCCATGAACAGCATGACGGCAGGCGTCACGGCCATGGGCGCAGCGCTGAGCCCGGGAGGCATGGGCTCCATGGGCGCGCAGCCCGCCGCCTCTATGAACGGCCTGGGCCCCTACGCGGCCGCCATGAACCCGTGCATGAGCCCCATGGCGTACGCGCCGTCCAACCTGGGCCGCAGCCGCGCGGGGGGCGGCGGCGACGCCAAGACGTTCAAGCGCAGCTACCCGCACGCCAAGCCGCCCTACTCCTACATCTCGCTCATCACCATGGCCATCCAGCAGGCGCCCAGCAAGATGCTCACGCTGAGCGAGATCTACCAGTGGATCATGGACCTCTTCCCCTATTACCGTCAAAACCAGCAGCGCTGGCAGAACTCCATCCGCCACTCGCTGTCTTTCAACGACTGTTTCGTCAAGGTGGCGCGGTCCCCGGACAAGCCGGGCAAGGGCTCCTACTGGACGCTGCACCCGGACTCCGGCAACATGTTCGAGAACGGCTGCTACCTGCGCCGTCAAAAGCGCTTCAAGTGTGAGAAGCAGCCCGGGGCCGGAGGCGGGAGCGGGGGCGCCGGCTCCAAGGGTGGCCCCGAAAGCCGCAAGGACCCCTCCGGCGGCGCAGGGAACCCCGCCGAGTCGCCCCTTCACCGGGGGGTGCACGGGAAGGCTAGCCAGCTAGAGGGCGCGCCGGCCCCCGGGCCCGCCGCCAGCCCCCAGACTCTGGACCACAGCGGGGCCACGGCGACAGGGGGCGCTTCGGAGTTGAAGTCTCCAGCCTCTTCCTCGGCGCCCCCCATAAGCTCCGGGCCAGGGGCGCTGGCATCGGTACCCCCGTCTCACCCGGCGCACGGCCTGGCGCCCCACGAATCGCAGCTGCACCTGAAAGGGGACCCCCACTACTCTTTTAACCACCCGTTCTCCATCAACAACCTCATGTCCTCCTCCGAGCAACAGCATAAGCTGGACTTCAAGGCCTACGAGCAGGCACTGCAGTACTCTACCTACGGTGCCGCCTTGCCCGCCAGCCTGCCCCTGGGCAGCGCCTCGGTGGCCACCAGGAGCCCCATCGAGCCCTCAGCCCTGGAGCCGGCCTACTACCAAGGTGTGTATTCCAGACCCGTGCTAAATACTTCCTAGCTCCCAGGACTTGGGGGTTTGTCTGCATGGCCGACCTGGTGGTAGCAGGAGAGAGAGAGAGAGAAAAAAAAAAAAAAAACCAACAGCAAACAAAACCACACACGCCAAACCAACCACATAATAAAATCCCAACTATTTTTTATTTTTCGTGCACACTTCTCCCCGGTGCAAAGGACTGTTACTTTATTATTGTATTCAACACTCGTTGTGTGTATTATTACAAAAACAACCGACTCCATACCAACCAATCTTTTTTCCCCCCTGCGGAAGTTTAATGATCCATAATTGTATATATAGAAAAATCTTCCTCCTTCTTTGCCCTCTCGCCCTTTCGCTCGTTCCCCTGTGGACACATTCTAGTCTGTGCAGGGCTTATTTAAAAAAAAGAAAATGGTCAAGTTTGTAAACTATTTGTTCGTGCTTTTTTGTTTTGTTTTGTTTTGTTTTGTTTTGTTGTTGTTGCCCCTCCTTACCTAAGCCCACCACACGAGTTTACAGGTCTGTGGCAATACTCTTAACTCAGTAAACATGGAAATGGAACAGGAATAAACAGAGCAGGGCCTCTTGAGAAGGCTGGAAGACAGTACTGCCATTATGCAGTGAGGTATAAGCAGGTTCCACATCAGAGCCATCTCTGTTCAACTTACGTTTCTGATGCACTCAGATAATGGACGTCTTTAAATGAAATACATATATATTGTCTGTGGACTTAGTCATGTTCACATATGAAGACCTCCGTCCACTTTTGCATAACATGTAGAGGTAATAGGTAGGTGATAGACATACTACATTTTCAAACATTGCCTGACCGAGTTACAAGGATCCCCTTCACACTTGTCCTCTCTACCCATGTATGACCCTGAGAACCAATCCCCCCCTAACTCTGCTCCTTGCTCTGCGGAGTGCCATGGTCATGTCATTCTGAGGTCACATGTATAAAATTAGCTTTTGTGTATGTATACCATTTAAAGGATTTTTTTCCCAGGGGAAAAAAAGGAAGTATCATATTATTGAGGAGAGAGAAATTATAAGAAATGCATTTCAAAATTTTGTCCGACGTTCCCAAATCCCAATTGTGGTCATTTCAGTTGTTGCATCCAGTGTTAATGCACTTTCATAGTTGGACGTAGTGTCAGTTTTAGACAAACGGGTTCATTATCATTCCTCTTTGCTTTCTCAATGTTAATTTATTGCATGGTTTATTCTTTTTCTTTACAGCTGAAATTGCTTTAATTGATGGTTAAAATGACAATTTTAAAAATGTTAATTTTTATCCATGTGATTGTAATTAAGATATTTTGATTTAAATAACAAGAATAATATGAGATTTTAATCTGTGGAATATGTTCCCAATCATTTGCAGTTAAGGAATTTAAATAAATCAAATGTTAACAACAAAGAATTTCTGTCATTTTTCCTTCATTTAAAATCCAAAAATAGATCTTTAATTAAAATCCAAAATAGATCTTCGGAATAGGGCATTTTTCAGATTCTGGAAAGACCAGAATAAAAGACCAACAGGGATATAATCTAAAATAAGATGGTTTCATCTACAGCTTAAATGAATGTATAACTAGTAAAATGTAGTGAAAGAAATTCAATTAAAGTAGGTAGATAACCTGACACTATTCCAAGAACTGAGGTTTTAAAAATTCTTTATTCCCAGTAATGTTTACTTCAGTTTTTTTGTGTGGGGGTGGGGCATGGGGGTTTTAACCCTCTTGTGTCTCTTTTTAAGTTTTTTCCTCGTTTGAAATTAAATTATTAATCCCCTATTTTTTCTAACTCAAGAAGTATCTGAATGAGAAAAAAATAGCAGCGGCGGCTGCTAAAATTAAGTTATCTATCACAGGCTCTGAACCCTCCTATGAAAAGAGAAACAAAACTCAGCTATCGTGGTCGGTTTGGAGAGCGGGGAGGAGAGCAGTTAATTCATTCCTGCGGCGGGGGGGGGGGAGCTTTGTGAGTATTTCAGGGTAGCTGTTTTGCGTTTTGTGAAGATATTTTTAAAATATTGTTTCCAAGAACTTAAACCTGATGGTTTGTTTGCCTTGTAAGAAGCTTTGAAATGCAACTTCACACCCCGTAGTTGCTTGAGATCACAAAATCATTAATCTCCTTTGATAGTAGGCTCACTTTCCAGTCCACCTATTTCTTTGTAAAACGTGTTCGGATTGACACCGACAATAAACAGCACCAGCCCAAGCCGAGGCTGGCCTGCCTGAGCTCTTGTGTGTGAACTGCATCCTCACCAGGGCTTGAACTTGGACAGCCTTTGCTTTGATCGCGGCCCTCCACAGTACAGACAAGATAAAAAGAGCCATGCCAGTCGCTCAATTATCGCGTAATTACCTCCCCAGATGAGAGAAGGGGTGCCACGTAGCACTTGAGAAAAATCCAGAAATCCCTGCTCTGCTCTCTGCTAGCCATGAAAGGAGGAGGGAAGAGAAATTGCTGGCGTGAGTAATTTCAAAACTCAATTCGAAGAGTCCTCTAAAGGACCATCAAGCATACCCCCAAAGACGAGAAGGCTCAACAGTTACACACGTAACGGGTAAACAGATGCGGGCACATTCAAACTCTTATGCAAAATAAACGCGTGATCTTCGGCCTGGGCCTTTCTCATGCTGCCCCGAAACGAAGTCTGACTTTTGTGCAGTCCCTTCCTCCCCCAGGTTTGTGTCTGCCTCCGTTCTGGCTCCTTGACTCTCCGCAGGGTTTTCTGGGTTTGCGGGGACCGGGGTGGCTGTGGCCCAGGCCGCTCGAGTGACGGGGGATGCGGGATGAGGGAATGGAGAGCAGCGGCTCGGGCTGGGCTCCTAGGTTCCTGCGTCCCGCGCGGGCTGCTGCTCACCCGGTTCTGCGTCTACGCTCTCTGCCACCTCGGGACCACGCGCGCCTCCGGACGCAGGCGGGCTGGGGGCCCCGGGACAGATGGTTGCTGGGGACGAGGGGGCAGAGCGGACCTCGCAAGCATCCCGAGGTGACAAATGCAGTTAGTTCTTCATTGTTTGGGCATTTTCCCCTCCTACGAATAAATCTTCTCTTGAGCCACAGACCTAAAAGTCAACAAAGGAGGCCGGGCGCCGGGTCTCTGGCCCACCCCGCGGCCAGCCTGGCCGAGCCGCTCCCGCTGCGTAATCCCTTCCTCGGAAACCCGAACACACAAACGCCGGCCCGCCGACCGGGGTGCCGTGCCCGGGCCAGGAAGAAAACATCTGTGCTTCCAGGGGCGCGCAGGGACCCTCCCGAGACCGTCGCCTGCAAGCGACCTCGGCATCCTCCGCCTCCGTCCGGCTTTGGTCCCCGGGCCCCTGATTTCTCCACCGATGCTCCGGTGGCCAGAAAGGGGACGCACAGGGTGCAGTCCACTCCCGGAGCCCAGATTTTTAGGAATTTTGCTCGGTGTGGGGGAGGGGCCGGAAGCCCGGGTAGCAAAGAAGGAAAAAGCTTCCAACTGACCCAAGTGGAAAGCTCCAGGGGCCCTCTGATCCCTCCACCACGCCGCGGAGCAAACATTAACGTAGAAACGCGTTTGGGGAGAGAGAGAGTGCACAGCGTCAGTGATTACTTTTCATCTCGTGTTTGGAAGCTCAACTCTGAAACCTTTTTTTAAACGCGATTGGAAAAAAAAAATAAAGCAAAAAGAGCCCGAGATAGATAAGGAAGTTCTGTCTATTCAGAGAAACTGAACAACTCTGAAGCGTTCCCAAGCAGACGGCCGTTCTGATTTCTGGGAGATCGGCTGGGACCACATTAAATCTCCAAGACAAAATTCAGTTTCTATTGTCCCTTCGTGGCCCTCTGCACGGCAGAATAGACCGAAGGGGAATAATGTGCGATGAAAACGAGCCTGTGCTAGTGAAGTTCTTAACCTATGCTCTCCTTTTTCAGAAGGTGGATTTCACTGAAACTGTTAAACATTTTTCCTTGAGTCTAACCGTTTTGAACGAGCCACTACAGAAGAGGATGCCAAGAATGACAAACTTATAAAATTCTGTTGTTTTGTCATTTAAAATATTGATCTTAGTTCCATGAAAATGCTTATTAAGTTTCTTAAAAAAAAAAAAAAACCTGCCGTGATCAATAGAAATTCTTTTCCTTGCAGACGAAAGTAGGAGACCTGTAGCCCAAATTAATTAACCTTTCCTCAAGATCAATTGGTGCTCTGTTGATTTAGCAGTAATATCATAGAACATTTAGCTATAATGTATTTTAATGTGACACTTCAATATGTCAAGAAGAAAAAAACCTCATTAAAAAATAAAATTGCTTGAATTGTGTAGTATGTTTTTAATAAAGTTTTTTTAAATTGCCTTTAAAATTAACTGCCTGTATTGTGGCTGTGTTTTGCAACTAAATGCAGCTAAGAGAATGCCCTCTCGATTCGAGATAATTGGGTGCAAAAAGAGATTATTATAAGCCACCCTGACCTAAATAGGTAATCAAATTATGCCGAAATTTAGGTATAAAAATTACCCAAATTGAAAGAGTAATTAAACCTCAAAAGAGTCTCGTGAGACTAAGAATGGAAGGGTGAAGTAGTACAACATCCCTAGAATCCATCTGCTGCGGAGAGAGGAGGGTTGTTTTTTTTTTTTAAAGTAGCCACGTTAGCAAGTTTTATTTCTACCTACGGTTACTATTTCGTGTGTCTAAACACATTTAACAACGGATTTCTTTAAAGCGTTGCCTTCCAAATTGTTAAGTTTGGAACGTAATGGGTTCCATTGGCGATTCTCTCTCTCTCTCTCTCTCTCTCTCTCTCTCTCTCTCTCCCAGGCCAGCTCCATTCACTAAACTTTGCACAGCTGGGTTGCAAGCCCTCACCCCCGCCCCCTATTCTCCGGCCCTTTTAGGACGCCTTCTGGGACCGGAGAATACCTAAGAAGTTCAGTCGTCACCTGTAAAACACTTAAAAACTTGTCGGGGAGAGGTGGGGGTGGGGGGCGGAGTTCGTTCCTA